AACCACGGTCGACTACGTGGGAGTCCAGCGACATAGCCATTACGCTAACTGCTGGTCCCATTAAAAAAAGAATTTAACAAATTGCTGAATCTATCAACAACTCAAAAGAAAACAAAAATCCTTAAATCTGGAAGGCAAAGCATAGAAGAAAATCAGTAATGTTTTAGTCAAAAGTCATAGAATTCCATTTCACCAGTTCAATCTCATATAATGAATCTCTCTTTTGTTGAATGTGCAGTGTTACTGTGGTCTTATCTTTTCATTTAAATCCTGGGAGTTAACATTCTAAATTATTATTGGTACTTCCAGAATACTTGTCTCTACCATTAGGCTGGCCATTTTCTTGGCTGTTTTTTTTTTTTTTTTGGAGAGATTTTCACTGTAGGGCGCGTGCGCTCGCCAGACAGACAGAGAGAGACATAGAGACAGAAAGCGAGAAATCACCCCCCCAGGGGGGATGGTCACGCCGCAATCCCTTCTCCTCCATTCTCCTCTCGGGATCTTGGGCACGCATGCACACACGCCCAGCGTGAGTTTTAAGCCACCGGGTCCGGGACACGAACCGCGGTCGACTACGTGGGAGTCCAGCGACATAGCCATTACGCTAACTGCTGGTTCCCTTGGCTGTTTTTTGAACTGTGTGTCCGACTTTAGTTTTCCTGGAATAGCACTTCCTTCAGAACTTCTTGGAGAGCTGGCCTGGTGTTGGTAAATTCTTTCAGGTTTTGTTTCTCTGAGAAGGTTTTTGTCTTTTCTTCCTATATGAAGGGTAATCTTGCTGGGTGCAGTATTCTTGGTTGAAATTGGTTTTTACTTAACACTTCGAATATATTTTCGCATTCTTTCCTTGCTCGCACTGTTTCCAATGAGAGGTCCGATGTTAGCCTGATGGGATATCCTTTGAAAGAAACTTGAAGCTTCTATCTTGACAATTTTAGTGTCTTGTTTCTTTCTGTCTGTGGTTTTGCTCAATCTCGCTACGATGTGCCTTGGAGATCTTCTTGGGTTGATTCTACATGGGGTCCTTTGTATTTCTTGGGTCTGGATATGTGAATGCCCCTCTAGGTTTAGAAAGTTCACTTCCAGGATTTCATGGAATAGACATCAATGACCTTAGCTTCTATCTTGACAATTTTAGTGTCTTGTTTCTTTCTGTCTGTGGTTTTGCTCAATCTCGCTACGATGTGCCTTGGAGATCTTCTTGGGTTGATTCTACATGGGGTCCTTTGTATTTCTTGGGTCTGGATATGTGAATGCCCCTCTAGGTTTAGAAAGTTCACTTCCAGGATTTCATGGAATAGACATCAATGACCTTATTAGTTTCTTCACCTTCTGGGGTACAGATCATCCAGATGCTCGGGTCTCTAACGGCATCTATTATTACTCATTGATTATTCTCATTTGGGGGGGGTTATTTTCTCAATTCTTTTGGTGAATTTTTCTAGGTCAGAAGTTCTGTCTTCTACATCTGAGATATCATCTATGATCTATATTCTCCAGGGAGGCTTTGATTTCCTGTATTACAGCCTTCATCTCTAACAGTTCTGTTTGATTCTTATGGTGTGTATTTCCTCTTTCAGATCATGCAAGAACTTCCTCACCTCCTGGAACTCACCTCTTTTTTCCTGCATCTTCTGGAGTTCACTGTCTCTCTTGGCTTCCATCTCTGTTAGTTTTGTCACTATGAATATTCCGAATTTTTTATCTGACATTTCCACTAGTTCTATTATACTATCTGTGGATAATGAAGGGCTATTCTTTTCCCTTGGGGGAAGAGATGTTTTCTTGGTTTCTCATATTTCTTGTGCCTCTGTGGTGGTTTCTGGTCATCTGATGGGTTATACGTTTCTTCCTACTTTCTTGGAGTTAATTCTGAGCATTAGAGGCGTGCGAGAGGAGACAACCCGCCATATCTCTGCGGTTCCGTTTGCCTGATGCTCACCAAGCAAACTGCACTTTTGTCGATGGAACTGCAAATTACAAAGGCCTCCCAGTTTCTAAAGAATAGGTGCACCTGGGCTGAGCTGCGGGGTATCAACAGAGAATTGAGGGGTGTGTGGGAGGAGATGAACTGCGTTCTCTCTGCAGCTCCGTATTTCTCACTACTGCTCAGGGGGGATGGCCACACCGCAATCCCTTCTCCTCCATTCTCCTCACGGGATCTTGGGCACGCACACAGACGCGCCCGGAGTGAGTTTTAAGCCACCGGCTCTGGGATGCGAACCGCGATCGACTACGTGGGAGTCCAGCGACATAGGCATTACGCTAACTGCTGGTTCCCGGAATCCAACCACCTTAACCACTATGCCACTAGCTGACCTTGCATACTACTTCTTTATAAGCACTTTGTTATAAGTATCTTCAAGTTTTTTTTTTTTTTTACCTTTATTTATTTATTTTTACTTTTTTTTTTTTTTTGAGCGGTTTTTCACTATAGGGCGCCTT